TCCCGGTATGAGACTCCCGCCAGCGCAAGTTTTCTCATGTAAACACCCCCTTACTGTACATGTACTTGTGCCTTTAGTACCCGATTAAGTGTATTATCGCTAGCCTACAAGTAATCTGTGTAGTTTACTCAAATAATACTTGCTTTCTATTTATTCAGCAGATCAGCCTGGTATGGGATGTTGGTGACAGAAAGTCCTCTCAAAGCAAACAGGATTAATACATGTTAATTACAAGCTTTAGTCTTGTAAAGTGGTTCCAGGGCTGTCACTAAGGGCCATAAACCAGACTTTAAATTGGCTACTTTGAGCCCAATACTTTTCTATTTTGAGAGGAAACGAAAGGATAATTTATTAAAACATAAACAACTTACCACCCTTTCAATGTCCCACTCACTAATTTCATTTACTCTCTAATAACTTGTAATTTCAGTGACAGCCTTGTGCATCTAACTTTTACATCATCAGTTTATGAAAATGATTTGTTATTTGGATTTTTTTGTTAAATTTGACTGTGAACACTTCTGGGAGTGAAAGGACTAAGGCAAGAAACCATCAATGATATACATGTATTAGGCTTTCAGTCTTTTTATTTCTTATCTAAAATTGTTTAAGCTTTTAATTTGAATTATGCTAAATTATACTAAATATTTTCATTTTGGAAGAGACCATTATTTTTGACCCACCTTTACATTAATTTGTGTGTTAGAGTTGCTGTTTTTTATCAAAATTTGACTTCATCAGTTTTTTGCAGTGATGCTACCAAATAGGTAACAGTTTCTATTTTTACTACACTTGGGATTGCATTTTTTTTTATTTTGACACTTGTTTCAAGGCATTTGATACAAACATTGATACAAGAACATGTGTTAAAGTTTCTGTTCAACTTGTTTTTTAAAAAAAGAGTGAAGTTTTCAACTTTACATATAGTTGTGCATTTCAAGAAAAAAGCCTTCAATATTTCAAGCAAGAATTAAATTATAAGACAAGGTATTCAAAGATTCTGCTTTAGGAATGAAGTTTTCAATATTAGTGGTAACTGATGTTATTTTGTAACAAGGTTTTCAATTTTGCATTTGTCTCTTACAGTTAGACTTAAAGAGATGATAGAACAAGATTTTAAATGTTTCTGTTCAACTTGTCTTTAAGATAAGAATGAAGTTTTCAATTTTACATATAGTTGTGCATTTCTAGAAAAAAGGTTTAAATATTTCAAGCAAGAATTAAATTATAAGACAATTTATCCAAAGCTTCTGCTGTAGGAATGAAGTTTTCAATTTTACTTTATTTTAAGTGGTAACTGATGTTATTATTGTAGCAAGGTTTTCAATTTTGCATTTGTCTGTTACAGTTAGACTTAAAGAGATGATAGAACAAGATTTTAAATGTTTCCGCTACAGCATGAAAATTGATTTAAGTACAAATGGTGACATATAAGAAAATGATTTTTGAACAAATAAAACAGAATTTGATTGAATACAGCAGATTGATTGATTTAACTGGCTCCTTTCCTTCCCAACGTTGTATTTTCTCATTTTATTTTCCCTCTAGGGTTTAAAATAATTATGCAAAGAAGAAAATAGCAGAAAATGTAATCATGTCTGTTGTTGAGCTTTGCCTTCCAGCCAATACATGAGCATGTTGCAACTTTACACCAGTTATACATTTAAATCTGGCTTACTAAGATGCCTAAACGCTTTATTTAGATGTAAAGGTGGCGTAAATGTGGAGTTTATACCAGCTATACGTATTATGTCTGTTGTCGCGCTTTTTCTGCAAGACAAGAGCATGTTAACTTTACATCACAGTACATATAAATCTGGCCTAAAGATGCCTATACACTTTATTTAGATCTATGTAAAGGTGGCGTAAATGTGAAGTTTATTCAAGCTTTACGCTGGCTTTTAGTCCACTTACAGGTGTTTCTTTACTCCAGCTTTACGCAAAAGTGTAAATGTAGCGTAAAGCTTAACTTTACGTAATGTAAAGGTCGTGTAAAGGTGTGTAAATCCAAACTTTACACCAGCTTTACGCTCACATTATGCTAACTTAAATTTGCCTTTTCATGCTGTGCCGCCCTGCCCCAAAATATAGAATGACGTAACGTGACTTATTTGATCTAGCCTGAAATTTCAATAATTAACATCGTTCTGTTTTTGTCAAACGTGACAGCTTAAGGGACTGTGCAATAATTATCAGGAGGGGGGGGCCCTAAAACCAGAGGGGGGGCCTTAAGTTAAAATAATGGAAAGGAGGGGGGGGGGGGGCTCTACATTAGATTTCTCAAGTAAGTTGAGGGGGGTCTTAATTAAATTTCACAAATTCCATAATGAATAAATAAACATTTTCCAAATAGACAGATGCCACTCCTTTGACTATCCATAATGTCTAAATATTGCATCAACATAAACACATGCTTTAACTTATTTAGAATGTCAACATATGATAGATTGAAACAGGCAACCCAACAAAAGTTCTTCAAACTCGGCCTTGATTTCTTGTATTGGAACTTATTTGCCCCCCGAGAAACCACGTGAGACTTCGCTTTTATCCCAAAAGTCCTTAAGCGCGTGCAAAGATGGTAGGTATCGTTAATAAGGTCTGAAAGATGCACAGAGAACCCACACAAATTGTGGGACTGTACGCTTTAATGTTTGAATTTAGAAGAAATGTATGGGAATATAGACCGAAGGTTCACATTATCGTAATATGATGCGATAAATTCCTATATATAAGAACAAAATAAACGACTTTTTACCTGAAATGCTATGTATTGTCGTTCTTGCAGCTGAAAACGACGAATTATAGCGATTTGAACGGTTTTACGTCATCGTTTTCAGCTTTACAGTTCTTTGCCGTCGTCGCACGAATGTTAAACTTTCTATTTTCACGTTTTGTGGAGGACGTGAACACAAAAGAACAAGTTGCTTTTTCTTTTCCTGAATTTTGATACAGCTTCAGAAAAATACGCCATTATTTGTCAAATTGAACGAGATGGAATAAACGCGTTAAAGTTTGAAGCAGCGGGAATTCTCTTTTACCATCGTTGGTACTTATTAAGCTTCCTAGGATAACTATAAACTCGGCAAACAAGGTACCGTAAATTAAATGACCTAATAAACGCCCACTCTCAAATAGACGCCTATTATCTATTATTATTATTCATTCAAAATATTTCCTCGATTCTGATTGGCTAAAAGCACACGTTTAATTCACCATAACCAGTTACTGATGACCAAATTAGGAAGAATTTTGACTTTAACGAGGAAATGACGTCAAAAATGCAGCGTTTTCGCAGGTTAAGGCACCGTTAACCGAGAAGACCTGGGGACGAGGTTGAGTTGTTTTGGTTGTGAACTTGAAAAAATGGCGGACATTTCTCTCGTTTCAAGAGTAAGAACTAGGCGAAAAAATAGCTAACAACATGGCAAGAACAGCAAGAAGACAACTCGAAGGGCGACATCTGCTATTTGGAGAATATTTGCCGAGCTGGACAAACCTAAACGTACACTATCGAAGATGAACTGAACATCGATGGATCGATGGAGGTAAGCATGTTTTAGCTACGTTTTTAAACTAGAAATTATTTTGAATGAATAATAAAACAGTTATTGAATTCGGCTTTCGTATCATATGAAGAATTATGGAGATCTCGGAGGGTGTTATCCGCCTCGGCCTACGGCCTCGACAGATAACACCCTCCTCGATCTCCGTAATTCTTCATAAGATACTCAGCCTCATTCATTAACTGTTAATTATTCATTCAAAATATTTTGCCATCATCCTGATTGGCTTTAAAGCCCCCGGCTAATTCTTCATAGCCAACCGGCGCTGACCAAATTTGGAAGATGCGAGCAATATACCATCGATTTGATGGTTTATTGACTTGGAAACGAGGCTGTATGGGCAGTAGACCATCGATCAACCTCTTTTCCAGGTGCAGCCTCCTAGAGTTTACAAAAAATAAATGGCGTTCACGGGTATCCGAAGGCAAAACTGATGCTGGATTTCTGACCATATTCTTAAAGAAAACGCAAAACATTTTTTCGATGGATGTTGTCTACTTTTTCCTGGGGAATACTTTAAAATTCCGAAAATAAGCCCCGGGGCTTATATTTTCCAAACGCCCTTTTTGAGGGGCTTATATTCGGAGGGGCTGATATACGGAAGGAAAATTGCGTTTCAATATCGTCTAGGCTTATACTCGGAGGGAAATGTGCGTCTCAAAATCGATTGGGCTAGCTCATAGTTGGAAGGAAATTTATGTCAGTAATTTAGGTTTACTCGAAACTCACCTTGAGGACGTAGACCTTTCTATAACGCAGCCATGCAAGTACTTGGTCTATACGGACCGAGGAAATCCAAGCCGAGAGTAAAGAGTGAACTACGCAAACGGCAATAAACTTTAACACTTTCTTACTGCAATCATTTGGCACATGTAATAGTTTTTTGGAAAGTACAAAAATTTATATGTTACTGTACCATTATTGCTTTGCTACTCTTTATTTGAGGGCAATTTCCAATTACAAGCCCCCGGGGGTTTTTTTTCGGAGGGGCGATTTAACGGAGGGTTTTTTTGCGTTACGAGTTTGGGGGCCTTATATTTGGAGGGGCTTATACATGGAGGGGCTTATTTACGGAATTTTACGGTATCCGCAAGAAAATAAACACCTGGCCCCGGTTGTTCAAACGTTGGATAGCGCTATCCACCGGATAAATCACTATCCAGCGGATAAGTATTAGGGAAACCAATTGCACTATCCACTGGATAGCGATTTATCCGGTGGATAGCGCTATCCAGCCTTTGAACAACCGAGGCCTGATTATATCCTGAAACCGTGCTGAGAAATAGGCCAAAGTTTTGAAGAAAGACTACGAGGAGTAATCTTGTTAAGAACTTAGAAATATTTTGAATGAATAATAAAACAATTATTGAATTCGACTTTCGTATGATGTGAAGAATTATGCAGATCTCGGAGGATGTTATCCACCTCGGCCTTTAGCCTCGGTGGATAACATCCTCCTCGATCTGCATAATTCTTCACATCATCCTACTCAGCCTCATTCAACAATTGTTAAGTACTAAATAAATTCCCCCCTCTACAATGTTTATTTTGTACTAGACGCCCCTCTCTAATAAACGCCCCCTGTGAGAATTCCTCCAAAATATTAGGAAATAGCAAAGAGGAGCAAAATCATTCAATTTATTCGATTTCTTGCTTGATTAAAAAGGGTTTGCGTATTGTATCTTGTGTTCAATGCCAAATACAAAGTAACAATGGACTAACGATGGCAGCAGTCCACGACAGTCCGAGCGAGGATTCTGACATCGATGTTGGGATTTGGAGGGTCTCGACGGCCTAGAACTATTTTTCAGAACTCTCTTGATATCTTCGCCAAAAGCATATTAGTTTTGATGAGTTTGTTACAGTTAGAATAAACGCCTCTCTCTTTTAAACGCCTCCTATCTATTAAATCCCCCTATTGGACCCCTAAAATCAAATTAACGCCCTTGGCGTCTATTAGATCACCTGCCAACTGGGGGTACAGTCGTTTTATTTTTGGATCATTTTATGTTTCTGGGAAACTGCCCATCTACCCCTCTCCTAAGCCAACATTTTTCCCTAAGTAAGAACTAAGTGTTAACGTTGGTTTAAGGGAGGGGTAGGTGGGCAGTTTCACAGAAACGTAAAATGATCCGCATTTTTGGTCAAGGCCAAATGGGAAAGGGGGCCTCAGCTCGGTTTATGTTGTACAACTCGGCTAACAGCTGATGTAGCTTTTCCTCCTCAAACAGTAATCAATCTTTATAACATATCATGAGACATTCGATCAACTTTGTCAACACTAACTGATTTGACTACGTTTAAGTTCACTTTACTAGTGCACAATTTCAGTCTAGCTATGCTATTAATCAACCAGTTTCACACACAAGAATTCACTTTCCATCTACAGTCTCTAAACTAGCCACACTTTGCTTGTAGCTGGGGTACATGCCTATTAATTGCTAGAAAAACTCAAACATTTCGTAATCATCGACGTTAAATTTGTTAGTACTTGTGAAGAACAATTCTCTTGGTGATTTACCTTTTATACGCACACCTCCTTCACGTATATCACAACAATTTGATCGGGATGAATTAGCATTATCTGAAATATGTAACCAAGCAGAGTAGGTATGTGTGCGGTCGTCGTCCCGAAACGTTGGCCCATATGTACTGTCAGAGACAATAGTTAGACCACTTTCGTTTTCCTTTGCTGGTATTCGAACTGGCCCCATTCCAAATGGATTAACAAAACTGAACAAAAACGCTTGTTTGGCGAATGAGTCAACTTGCCTATTACCGGTACCTTAAAAAGTAGAGAATAAATGTTATTTTAAAATTTTTATGTGACCCTCACGATATTTGCAAAGTGTTATGATCGTTGAAAACTGTAAAAATGCAAAGGTTCGTGTCGCCGACTCAAGTTTAATACAAAAAAATCAAATCACCACCCGGCCGCCCGACACCCCAATAAGGAAATTGCCATGTCGAAACAGGTAGGTAAAAGTAATGCAAATTTTCGAACAATCAAATTAGTATACGACGTATACCGTACTGATTTTTAGCGTTTCTGATGCGGCGTTTATTCGAGGGCGGCGTTTATTTCAAAATCACATTTCTTAAATCACTGACCCCGCAACCATTACAATAAATCATTAAAAAAAAAAAAAAGTTTAAAGTTCCAGTGCTGTCTTTTTTGTTGAAATAGAATCGTAGTTGTCTGGATGGTGGAGACCGAGTTTTTCTTATAATTATCGAATAAACGCCCCAAATTACGCTCACAATTATGCTTGCCTTTAAAAATAAAGGCACTTTTTGAATTGTTTCTTAAAGAATGTCAATAAATGCAGTTTATATGTGTGTGAAGCTGTGACACAATGTCATCCTGCACCTCCTGCAACTTGGGCCTACAACTGCTCCTGTCGCCCCACGTAAGGGAATCCAGATTCCGACAATTTTTGCTTGTGGAATCTCGAATAGACCATTTGCACGATGGCGTCGCTTTACTACTACGACCAGAACACTTGTTTGTGGAATCCGGAATCCTGGGCTATGGAATCCGGAATACAGTTAAAGGAATGTTGAATGCCACTGACGATTGGAATCCAGAATCAACGGGTCAACTAACAAACTACTGGAATCCGGTGCCTGGAATGCGGTACGTGGAATCCGGAATCCACAGCGTGGAATCCAGACTCCAAGACTGTCTCGGATTCCCTTTAAATACATGGGGTGAAACGTGCATCTGCAACTGCATCCAAACTTGCACACCTGCACTTGTACTCCTGCAGTTGACGAAACGAGCGACGAAAACGACGTTCACTGAAAGAGAGGTTCTTAATTGATACATGAACCTAGTAGAAAAAAAGCTACTAATAATGTTACTTACCAGGACTGCTCCATGCCGCATCGGCAAATCCACCAAATACGAAGCTTCCACTTTGCACAACTGTCACTGTTGGGCCTTTGTCGTCGCATTTTGAGTGGAAAGATTCAGCTGCGAAGCCATCTCGAGAAGCTCTGAATAGAAGACGCCACTTGCCGCTTTTATAAGGTATCATTCCTATCAATATCTTTGCATGTTCTTGAGTCAGAATTTCAGACTCTGCAAATGGCTTTGTGGCTTCTGCACCTCGAATTGAACCTTTTGCAGGTCTAGGTTGCCCCAACTCATCGAGAATTCCTTGAATTTGGTAGAATCCAGCTTCGGCCTCGATTTCTTCAAAAAAAGTGGCTCCTTCGGGTAAAGATAGCTTTCCATCACGAAGATAGTTCAGAATATACCGGAAGTAAGTTCCATCTCGGTCGATAAAGAACGTTCCATCTTCAGAAGGCTTCATTGGAAACCTTCCTGAAAACATGGCAGCAAGCATCGAGTCTGGGTCCTTGGTTAGTGTGTGGACGGTTGTAGTGAAATGTTGGCCACCAACATTGAGGTTCACTTTCGTTGAAAGCTGCATGCTTTCCATTTTCTTCGACATGGAATTATATACTTCCTGCTCCTCACGAAGTCGTCGAAGCCTACTTGCTTGTCGCTGTAGCGACTGTAGTTGGCTACAAACAGATTCGATTTGTTTCTCGACATCAGCGAGAACTTGAGTGTGTGACAGTTCCTCTTCTTCTTGACTTCTATCACTCATTTTAAACGCGCTTCCTTGAAAAAATTTCGATCAGTTCTTCTTGGCAGCCTTCTCAATCGTGAGCTGCTGCGTGATCGATTATAAGCTATTTGCATGACTTGATCACGTGATCAACTTTCGATAGACACGAAAACAGAGTGTATTAAAACTAGGTAATAGGTAACCTGAGAATTTTCAGCCGTTTATCTCAAAAGTAGCGATTGCAACGGCCGCCGAAAGTTGGAAGCATTTGTATGAGGAAAAAAAAAACTTTTGCCATCCAGTCCGCACGCTTGCAGGGTTTTCCATACAAATCCTTGTAATTTCGCAATCTAGTCATGAAATATTTCCTTAAGCATTACAGGGCTCAAGCAATTTGAGCCCTTAAATGCGTAAGGGAAAGATTTAACGACAGTTAAAAAATTTCAACAACGACAGTTAAAAACTTTCGGCGACCGTTGCAATCGATGCGCTCGAGATATACAGCTGAAATATGAGATTCCTTCAAAAAATATATGTTGTGGTTTTATTTAATCCTTGGCTCAAGTCATATTTTCCTTTGTTTTTTTTTTCGGTATAATGATATATGATAAAGAGTGTGAAGAAGATGAAAATAAAATTTGAATTAAGGATGAAGTTGAGCCACAACAGATAAGCAATCACACAAGGTCATACAGCGTTGTCAGTCATACCAAAATGAAAACGCCAAACAAAGAAAAAGAAAATAAAGACATACTTCTTTTCGAGTAATTGAATTCCACATGAACCTTCGAGCTCACTGTGTCTGGTGGAACTTGTCACTGACAGCGGCGGATCCAGACCTTCAGATAATGGGGGGTGTGGGGGGTGAGGGGCGGCGGTCATCCAACGGTCATCCAGACCCTGTCGACCCTGAGATAAAGGGGGAGGCCCAGTCTCCAAAAAAATTTTTTTCGGCCTCAGTTTGGTCTGAAAATAAGGGGGGAGAGGGGCGGGCCCCCCCGAACCCCTCCCCTGGATCCGCCACAGACTGAGATTGTAACTCACTTTTCGGTGATTGAACGCCCGCGTATTGTTCCCTTATCAAATCTTCTTGAGGATCATACAGATTGGAAGAATTATTTTTAGCTTACCAACTTTTCTCAGTTGATTCTTTGGACGATGAAGGTTGAAATCTTGGAAAAGTGTCATATCCTTCGGACCTTTGTGGGTGAGATTGAGACAATTGTTAAAATGGACAGGGGTATTGTTCAGCTGCTGGAGGCTGGGGTCCAAAGAGTTGCTGTGTAATCTGGTTAGTGAAGGAGCTGACACAGGTTTTGTCCTCATAGCGCTATTTAATATCTTAACGTTGACTAATTCGCATGACGCTGATCTTGACAAATGGCGACTACTGTGTGCATTTGGTCGTTCTAGAGTACCTTGCACTGAGCGAGTTTATCTGACATATTGCACCATGGGAATCACTGTTGGGTTTGTCTCAGGAAGTTATATTTATCTGATGTATAAAATCTCGAGAACAATGATTCTAAAGCGACGGTTTCCGTGGGAGTAAATAAGTAAATAAGTCTATGTTGACCGAAAGACGGAACTCTTGCGAAAGAACGCGTAAAATACTCGTGCGGTCTTCTCTAAACTTCCAAGTATTACGTAACACAACTAGAATCTACGAAACGTAAACCTCAGCTCCATAACAAAAGGATCGTGGAGGCGGGGCGAAAACAAAGAGGATACCAAATTTTATGTCCAAATCTTGGCAATTTGAAAAGGTCGAATAGATCTTATATTTTATCTCTCCAAAGTAGAACAAGTGAGGAGATTTTAAGACCCTTTGACTCAAGGGGGAGCACTCCCTATAATGACCTATACAGGGAGGCCCCGCCCCAAAATTAAAGGGGTACAGGTTTTCAGACCTCAGGTATATGAACGGGAAAGGATTTCACTTGTTGAACTATATGAAAGGGTAGGGAAATCTGTCATTTAGTTCGGTAAAAAGGTCCAAAACGACTAACAGATGCATTTTATGACAGTGAAAAAGTCGAGAAAACGTTCCTGTTTTTGAGATTTACTTAGACATAGCATTTATAGGAGTTTAAAGGGATGGAAAGTTCTAAACGGGTACAGGGTTGGACCTTGGGGCGGAGCCTCACAGTATAAAACTTTTTGAGTACCCCCGGGTCCTTTGTCTTTTTGGAAATCGACTCTTTGACCATTGACTTAAAAGATGATTACCGCACAGTTTGTCGAACCGTCAGTCAATGTCAAGAATAACAGACTTATTTAGTACTTCATTCACCCGCAGGATCATATTCAACTTTCTTATGACATGATTTTCCTAGGTTCAACGGTCTACTTTAATGAGCTTTATTTTGAAAGAAAGTGTATACTCCTTTGAGTACCGTCACATGACATTCAGTGGGCACAAAATGTACACGGAAAATACGCCTAACCTGGTCTATTGTAACGGCAAAAACATATTTCCATAGCAACCTCATAATTAATACAAAATTAGACAACAAAATGACTGGTGTAAGAAACCTTCCTAGTAGATTCATTGCATTAATTTTTTGTCAAGGTTAGATTGGGCTTAGCTAGCCTTAAAACAAACAACGCAAAATCCGCTCCCTCAATGCCTTTTTTTGTTTTTCATTAAAAGGTTAATTTATCATTGCACAAACTTGGACCTAATTCTCTCTTCATTTACAATATCAAATTTAATACTATGTTCTGAAGTTCACTTTATGGATCCAGTCTATAAATCTACCTCTTTCACAAAAGTGGAATTAATTTTCCACTCACGGACGTCCTTATTCAGTCCCACTACGCTTGTGGATAGAGTACGAAACTTATCACTAGTAAAATTCAAACACTTCATAATCATCGACGGTAAAATCTTTAGTACCCGTGAAGAACAAATCTCCTTGTTTTCCTCCAGGACACGAAAATTTTTCTCGTAGACGACTATAACTTGATCGAGATGACTGCGCATTATTTGAAATGTGTAGGTATTTTTCTGACCAGTAGTCTTGTCCAAACGATGGCCCAAGCGACTTTTTACAGGCAATAACACAACCGCTCTCCTTTTCGTCTGCGGGTATTCGAACAGGCTCCGTCCCAAATGGATTGACCAAACTAAATAGGAATGCCTGTTTGGATTCAATAACTTCCATACGCACACCTTGAGGAGAAAATTAAATATTTTTTACAAACTTTTAACTGACCCTTTTGTCACTATATTTGGCCGAATACATGCAGCAAAGTTTAATAAACGTTCATTCAAAACTATCCGGTCCCAATTAAGGGGGTTGAAGTATTTATCATCTTAATGATTATAGTTCCCGTTATCCCTAAATCCACCATTTTTGGCTATCCCTAGGATTTATTTTTAAAATAATCTATCTTAAAAATATTTTGGCCGGTTATACCTTACTCCTGCTAAAACCCCAAACAGGGCCTCTATAAAACCCTGGTGACCGTGCACTAATTCAGACGAGTACCGATCTGCTGATGTGACTCAAGTTATATTTAAAACTGACCCTCAATCAACCCTCTCGTCCTGTCGCGTATAAATTTGGTCTTGAAACACGACTTTAGAACGGTACTAACTGAAAGTCTACCCGAGTGAATAATGAATTCAAAAAATACACTTTTTACTAGTACGTGCGGCGTTATTCCCACGTATAACGTGTAAGTATTCATAAGTGTGTCGTAGTTATTTATCAACATTAAATTTTCATTGTCAGTTTGGCTTAACTTCGATTACAAAGGAAATCGATTCTTGGTTCATTAAAATGGACTGCGGTAAGAGTTAATATGGCCACTTTAAAAGACCTCGACAAACAATTACAGTTATTGTACTATTCAAGAAGACAACGTAATTTTACTTACGCGGACTCCTCCATGCTGCTTCAGTAAATCCGCCAAATATGAAGTTTCCACTTTTCACAACCGTTACTGTTGGACCTTTGTAGTCGCATTTTAAGTGGAACGATTCTGCCTCGAAGCCGTCTCGAGAAGCTCTGTACAGAAGTCGCCAGTCGCCAGTTTTGTAAGGTAGCATACCCGACAAGATCATGTCAAGTTCTCGAGTCAGAATCTTAGAATCTGAAAATAATCTTGTGGCTAGCGCTGTGGCTCCTTGGATCGAACTCTTCTGACTCTGCGCGGATCTGGGTTTACTTAACTCGTCGATAATTCCTTGTATCTGGTAATAAGTGGCTTCTGTCTCGATTTCCTCCAGATCTGTGCACGTGGCTTCTTCTGGTAAAGATAACTTCCCATCACGCAGATAGTTAAGTATATGGCGGAAGTGTTTTCCATCTCGATCGATTTCAATCGTCTGAATCGCACCATCTTCAGAACGCTTTAATGAAAACCTCCCCGAAAACAGCAGCAAAGTACGAGTTTGGGTCCTTTGTTAGCGTTTGGCGAGTTGTGGTAAAATGCTGGCCACCGATGTTTAGGTTGACCGTCTCAGAAATCTGCGTACTTTCTATTTTCTTGGACATTCGATCGAATGTTTCCCGCTCGTTATGAAGCTTGTCTGCTTCTTGTTGCAGTTGTTTACAAGCCTCACTAATTGCAGCTGTAGCTGCGTTGATTTGTCTTTCGACGTTAGCAAGGATTTGCGCCTGAGACAATGCCTCTTCTTCCTGACTTCTGTCATTCATTTTAGAAATGACCTGCCTCGGAAAGACCTCGATCAACTTCGAATCAGTTCTGGCGGCAGAGAACACTTCTCTGTTTTATGAAAGGTAGGGGTCTGATTGTTACTTGAATCTTGAATGCCGTATTAAATTACGTGGCCAAGCCTGTTAGTTATCGGAAATGTTTCAAATTGATCCAAAAACGGAAAATAGAATGAGGAAGTGTTGCCAGGTAACATGATAATTCTGGATTTATCGTGGCTAAAATAAACAGAATTATAATCACGACTAGGGACACATGCAAGTACAACTGATTCTTTCTGTTTACAAGAAGATAGAAAGATCCTAGTATCAGGAAGGTCACGACTGTTCCTTTTGTTTACACGCAAGCCATTTCGGTAAGCCTTTTAAAGAAACAAGCTGATGTTACGAGCTGGGGGTACTGCCATATATGGGCTACATAGGTATGTGCCACTGTGAAGGGTATGGTTTTCAAGCAGTTTTCAAGCAGTTTACTCTAAGATAGGGTATATAAATCAGAGAGTTTGGGTCTAGAATAGGGTATCATTTTTTAGGAAACTGATCAGCTGGTTGAAGGTTTAATCTAGACTAGGGATTGTGGTATAAGGTTTAAGCTACTCTAGGATAGGGGGTAGGCATGAATAGATTGTGCTAGTAAATCCGGCAAAAGTTGCTTGACAATACACTCAAGGGTTGCTCTAAAGTTGCTAAAAAACTTAAAAGTTGCCACCCAAATATAGAAAAAATGCTTACTTTTGAGAGTCATTTCATAACGTTGTATGTGTAATTTAACATCATTTGTTGTGATCAATATAATCTTTAAGCTCAACTTAACTAATAATAGAAAGTATTTTCTAATGACGTTTCTAATGAGTAAACATCACAATGTTTGCTATAGACATCATAGTGCTGACTATACACTTTAGACAGTGATCAAGTTTACAGCCTTTATCTTATCTTATCATGATGAGATACAACAATGCAAAGAGGTTGTAAACTTTAAAGTTTACAACCTCAATATCTGTATTATTTTCATTTTCCTCGTCAGACATTTCAGTTTCTAATTGTGATGCCTCGCACTGCAGCAAATACCAAGATGGTGGGCGGGAATCTCTATTGTTGGAGCGAATAACCGCTGGATGTAAGCGCCCGTTAGATAGATAGCTGCTGTCCAGTTCGTGGGCGCACCTGTTATTTTATAAAGAAATATTTTTTTATATTAGGGTAGCATTATTCAGCCGAACTAGCTCTGATATAGGTTAAGGGTTCCAGGGTCCAAGCGGCACATCCCCACCCAGAAATTCCTAAAGTACCCCTCCCGGGGGTTACGAGTTATGAAGAAGAACTTGTTAAACTAAGATTAGGAATTTTCTATGAAATACCAGAGACGGCGGAGAAGGGGAGGGCTGCCCCCTACTTTTTCCGGAAAAAGAAAGACTTATTGGTATCAATTAAGGTCTCTGGGAAACTGCCCACCTACCCCTCCCCTAAGCTAACATTAACACTTACTTCTCACTTAGGGCAAAATGATGGCTTAGGGGAGGGGTAGGTGGGCAGGTTCCCAGAAACCTAAATTGCTCCGACTTATTAAGAGGAGCGTCTCCTAGTTCCCTCCTCACCTCGCCCTTCAAGTAATAATAATATTTGATATATAAGAGAATAATAGCTTAGTCATCTATTCACAGTTGCTCATAGTTTTTTTTCTGTAAAAACAGCTTTTATTATTTTCAGATAACACGAAACGATCGTGCTAAGACTACAGCTGATTCAACTTCTAAATACGGAATTTGACTTGATCTTAACATCTAATTTTTTTTTCGCAGATCCGATCACATAATTATTTAATCAAAAATATGCATAATTAGCCTCCTAACGGCCAAAGTGGTAAACGCATTCCTCGTTTATCAGAGATAAATGAACGAAAAAGAACGATACAGATGACCAAGACAAACGGCAGATATCAAAGAAACAGAGCTGCAGGCAACGAGAAAGAAAAGTGAAAAATATTTTCTTAGTTTCTCCCGGCCTTCAGCTTCCCAGCGTTTCTTGAGGGCTTTTTGTACTTTCTGCACAGGATCTCCGCGCATTTATGGTATTAGTATAGGTAATAGCATGATTAGTAGTGATATTTGGCATAAATACTACGAGTGATATTTCAAAATTGTTATACGTAATTTCACGAGCCGTTAGGCGAGTGAAATTTGAGACAATTTTGAAATATCGCGAGTGGTATTTATGCCAAATATCAAGTGCAAATCATGCTGTTATTTGTTTATACTACTACCCGCACAAGGTTTGTAATTTTCACATGTAGGTATTTCAAATTTAGCTGAAATACCACTGCTCTAAGCCAATCAAATTGCAGAAATTTCTCATATAGTAGTATAAATGGTATTAAGCTATTATGGCCTTTAAATGCATGACCGGTCAAGCCCTTGAATATCTCACATCCCAATTTATTACCCGTGAGCAAGTTAGCGAACGAACAATTCGGAGTAGCCAAAAGCTAAACATCCCTCTTTTCACAACTGCCTCCGGACAGAGAACCTTTTATTACAGGACTGTTAAACTTTGGAACAATTTGGAATCTTTTCTTAAGTTAAGCCCATCTATTGAAATATTTAAACATTCCTTAAGGAGCCAGCTGTTAGATAATTTTGTAAATACTTCTTAGTAACAATCTGGAATCTTTTCTTAAGTTAAGCCCATCTGTTGATATTTTTAAACGTTCCTTAAGGAGTCAACTTTTAGATAATTTTGTAAATACTTCTTAGTTAAGTTTAAAACATTGTAATTAGTATTAGATTAAGGGTTGTAATTCTTTATCATAAATAATGTAATATAGTCATTGTTCCTGAAAAGCCCCTTTGGGGAGGTAACAATAAAATATGTAAGTATGTATGTATTAACTTAACACAAAGGAGATCTCTGTGGAAAAGGGCGCTTCTGATAGAACAGAGTCTGATCGTCCTTGGCACTCTTTACAAAACTTTACAAACAAATGCCGTAAATCCAGAGGCAAATTATAAATGCGTCCTCAAGCAAAATGAAGGCGTTCAAAGTCGACGCTGAATCGTCACTTTATGGACTGAGCCTTCATGAGCCCTCTGAGAATTTCAGGACTTTGAAAGGTGACAGAAGTCCAAGCTTCCGTCGCAGGCTGCAGGAGCGTCCGGCTGCAGTGTGTCATTGCGGAAACTTCTGATCTCACGTAAAGTTGGGGCCGACATACTTCTTTTCAAGAGACCTTTACGAGATCGCAACGAAATCCCATTTGATCCTGCGCCCTTTCCGTATGCGGTGGATCTTTCCAGATTGTAATCTTGTACCCAGATCTCACTCTGTCTTACTTTGGTCGTGGGAGATCTGGGTAGGAGATAAGGCAGATGGTTCTTCAGTTTTCTGTTATTGAACTGATATTGTTTCTTTATCAAATCTCCCGCAGGATCAGACAGATTACAATGGTTACGTTTAGCTTCCCACCTTTTCGTTAACGATGAAGGATGAAATACTGGCAAACTGTTACGATGCCTTTCGCGCCTTTGAGGATGGACTGTCGCAACAACTGTTAAAATGGACGAGGGATTCTGCGGCTGAGAACTGTCAAAAGAGTTGTTGTGTAATCTGATTATTGAAGGAGCCGATACAGGTCTTTTCTTCATTGCACGATTTAATTCTATCACGTTGGCTAATTCACATGACGCTGCTCTTGACAAAAGGTGATGGCTGTTCGCATTTGGATGTTTTTGAACACCTTTCTTTGAAAAAGGATCTTTTGATCTGACATATTGCATGGGAGCAACTTTTGACTTGGCTACGGGGGGGTTTCTAATGCAAAAAATCTCAAGAACGATGTTTCTAAAGCGATGGTTTCTGTAGAAGTAAATTAGTGGATTTACTATAGAGTTCATTGGCAGTAGTGTCTCTGCTGACCGGAAGACGGAACTCTTGCGAAGGCTTGGGTACAATTCTCCCATCAAACCAACAGTTACCAAGGGAACAAAGGAAAGAACCACAGCCGTCGAAACCAATGCACACGTGATAGCAACTGCATTTTCGAGTTTTGTTTTCACCATAACAGTAACTTGCGTGATGATCTGTTTAGCTTTGCGGGCTTCACGATACACCACGATGTAAAAGTAGGCGATCAAAATTAAAGCGAAAAATGCAGCAATAGCCACAGCAATGAAATCATGTTCGATACCCAGGGCTGTTAGTAAAATACCTGGAACTTGTGTAAACGCGGCTAAGAACCAAGCTGTTATTGCGAGTTTCTTGGGGTGGCTTCTTGTAAGTTTTGCCTTGTTCTGATAACAATTCTGTATCGCCTGGTACCTCTCCCAAGCGATAAAAGTCAAATGGTATAGAGTGGAAGCCGTTAACGTGTACATCAAGTACATGTAGACATTAACCAAATCTACCGTGCAAATGTGATCATTAAAAACTTGCCGGGAAATAACGAAGTCAACAGTGGCTGATAAAGGCATGTTTATAGCACCTACCAAAATGTCCGCAGCAGCCATGCTCGATAACAAAATGTTGGAGTGTTTTTGCAGTTCTTTTCTTGATCTCACTCCTGCGATAACCAAAATGTTCAAAATGACTGCAGCAGGAGATGCAATAGATACGATTGCGACCATTACCCAGGGGAAAATTTTGTCAGTCGGGTCCCACACAAAGTTTGGATTATGTGGACAAGAAAAAACTGACCTCATGTCCGACGAAACGTTCATAGTTGCTTCTGTATCACTGCTTTGACAGTCGATCCATCAATTTAATTCGATTTTAGTTTAGTGCTCGATCGCCGATGTTGTTGATTCGATGTACGTGAGCGCTTTCCTAGCTTTGGGACAACGGCAAATTTTCTTGTATTGCATTGAATTATGTTTGCGAGTAATTTCCTTTTGGTGGGCAAAACAAGAGGCAAGAGAAATTAGTGACAAAAGCGATCATCATTTGATGGTCTGCGTTTCGTGTATAAGGACGGGAAATGTCATTAGTTTCTTTCCGCCCTTTTGTGAAATATTTTGAAAAAAAAATTTCGCTCGAATTTCACTAGCTTAAAATGGACCAATCTTTTAAAAAGGAAAAATTGGACTCCATTTTGCTCAACTCTGCTTAAAAAGTGATTCAAAACAAATTTACTTACAGGTAACCCAAGCTCACAAGTAAGAATGCATACATGAACAAATCTTTCGAAAGATTGCACCCTTGTCCTTCAGCAGCACAATTGAAATAAAATTATAATTCTAATAAGGCCTTAAACTGTTGTTTTTTTAAATAAAAATGGAATCCAAGCTTTCGCCGCTCAAAGGCATCATCAGGGATGAGAAAATATTTTGCGTGGAGCTACATATACAAAATAGATGCAAGATATGTCTAAAAGTATGTAAGCAAGGTATGGAAATAAATTTTGAATGAAATACAACAGCTGTCTAATGGCCGAGCGTCTCTGGCCATGCTTGGACAAAGGAGTCTCTCAAAATGTATAAAAATAGTGTCTAAAACACTTAAACAAAATTTCGTTACGATGATTTTCCCTGATGATGCCCTCATGATGCCTTTGATCGGCGAATTCTTGGATTCCAGTTTTATATTTTTAAAAACGAAAGATTAGGATCTCAGATTCTGAACGTACAGCCGAAATTTCGCGGGGGTGGAAGTGGAATCATTTGAATCTTGATATTCGTGAATCCTGTGGTTTTTTTTTCACAATGTTTCTTGATTCCTGCAAAAATTTCTACAAGAATTATGATTCGTATTTCAATTGTGTGATCGATCTCAGTCTTCTTTAATATGTAGACTTTCAATAAGAATACTTGTAACCACCCATTTATGAATTTCACAATCGGTGATTCAAAAAGTGTTCTAAATGCCTTATTATTTGTTTATAAGTCGGTACTGTAAATACGGAAATTAAAGATAATCGCTTTCTTAAAACTCGCACAGTCGACACAAATTGACGCTGTATGGCAACTGCTACGATAGTGGCGAAAATTGGCTTGTCGGTGTTTGCTTTAAGGTAGATAGAAAATTATTTCCTCACTGAATTTGCAACAAAAAATAATGCAGAAAATGAAAATGAAAATGCACTCGAAAAATGAGCGAAACACTGCCAATTAAAACGCAAACAAAGCTCTTACTAAACGACGTCTTTTATTTATTTTATTTACGTCTTGTTTATTATATAACCAGGTGAGCTTTCGCGCGAAAACTTGATATCTTCACATGTGAAAATATCACCGTTGCTAAGGCTAAATGATAAATCGCGCCTTTCACAAAAAAGAACTATTAAAGTGAAATGCTTTGGTAGTTCATTGGTGTTTATGTAATAAATCGAACATTAGATGGCCGCTTGGAGATTCGAAACTTCTCTTCGAGTGTTGAAAAATATTTCACGAGTAAGCGCAGCGAACGAGTGAAATATTTTTTCAGCACGAGAAGAGAAATTTCGTATCTTTGCGCGGCCATGTAACAAGTGATAAATTTTTGCAATAGAAGAAATCGCGGTCGAGTTTGTTTATTCTTGACTACAGAAAATGAACAACTTTTTTACATCAAAGACGATAATGACAAATTTTGGGTGGAAGTGATCATTGTTACTTTTTTTAACGCAGTTCCGACTGTGGATGACCTTACAGCAAGCAATAATGACGTTAATTTTGTCGAAACTCAGACCGTACATTTTGTATGATTATTAAATCGTCGTTCGCTTTGAGAGAATAAACAAAGTCGACCGCGATTTCTCGCATTGCCAATTTCTATCTTTTGTTTGCCCCCGAAATACCACGTGACATTGCTTTTATCCCATCAATCCTAAAGCCCGTGCAAAGATAGCGAGTGAATAAGGTCTATTAACAGAATTAAGCACTAGATACATTCTTCAACGCTTCGCACCTCGGTATAGAGCGTTTTCACTCACATGACCAGCATCTATACAAATTTATTGTAAAAAAATTTACACAAGAAAAAGGTTCAGCTCCACAGGGACACCAACAAGGCTGCCGTTTCATTGTTTTGTACTCCAATATGCCCGCCGTGACGTCATCGGAAAACGCTCTATAATTCCACCATTGTTCATCTTTCATTCGGTGGAAAGTTAACTATATATTATAATTTTTATTCATTCAAAACATTTCTCGGTTTTTGACTGGCTTTAATCCCCGGCTAGTTCTTTATAACCATCTCTAAAACCATCATTGACTTCATCTCAAATGGAGAGGGCCTGGGTGTGTGTTAACAAGAGGATACCAAGTTATACCTTAAAAGTACGTTTTAGGACGTACCGGAAATCATTGTAATTTGCACCCTGCAACAACATTAACTCAAAAAGTGCCACGAAATCTGATACAACACTGATAGATATAAAACTGGGCAAACAAAAAGAAGAGTCATTGTCGGTATTCATTTTTTGTCAGAGATTAGATGGGAAATGAGGGTGGCTAAAAGCTCAGGTTGGTTTAATTCATAATTTGGCTCGCAACTGATGTACAGTTTCCCTATAAAAACAGAGCTTGCGTGCAGGCTGTTGATAAGCCCTGCTTTTGGGCTGTAAAACATAAATCAGCTAGGTCTCACATGTAATTCAGTTAACTAGAACAAAACATGGCGGGTCCTACAGAGGTCCTACACACATGTTTTACATAGTTTCCAGGCCCTTACGGTTCGAACCGACTCGCGGGCTCATAGCAACGGCGACGTCAACGAAAACGGCAAAAAGTAATATGTTTAGATTGGCAAAACAACAACTCTGCACGTGCATCATGCTTTTTTGAACATTTCTTTGCCATCACTTCACGACTACGACCTGAAAATGCCTAATTTCACGTTTTATGGAGGACGTGAACATAAGACAACGACTTTCTTTTTCTTTTCCTGAACTTCAATACAACCTGTTAGAATTCAATCCCAAGAAGGTTTGCCAACATTTGACAAATTGAAAGAGATGAAATATGCGCGATTAAGTTTGAAACAGCGCGACTACACTTTTGAAGGTGACTACATGAGACGATTCGCGAGAACGATTTTGAGCGCAACACAGCGTAGCAATGTTGGAACAATGCTGCAGCCATTCGAAACAATTTCGCAACAATGTTGTAATGCTGTGTTGCGCTAAAAATCGTCGTTGCGAACCGTCCCGAGTAACATCACCGTTAAGTGACGTTTTCGTAGCCGTCGCCGTCGTTTTTGCTTAAGCTCCTTATAATATCAACACAGATGTGTACTGTTTCATTCAACGTACCGGGTCCCTTTTCCCGCGCAAATGGGAGGCGTCTACACGTAGGCTATAGAAACAGTAAACATTCTTAAAAACATATTCTACGACATTCGATCAACGTCGTCAATACTAAAATTTAATTCAATCAAAGTTTACTTCATGTACAAAAATAATATTTCAGCCCATAATGAACCTATATAATACTTTCTCACACACAAAGAATTAATTCTCCATCGACACGCTCTAAGCCTTGTAGCTGGAGTACATGCCTTACCACTAGTAAAACTCGAAAACTTCGTAATCATCGACGATAAATTTTTTAGTACCGGTCAAGAACAAATCGCCTGGTTTCCCTTCAGGACACGAAAATTTTCCACCCAGACGACAATAACTTGATCGAGATGAATTTGCATTATCTGAAATATGAAGGTAGCTCTGGAATTTACCTGTATCTGTATTAAGGTTTCGGCGAAACGTTGGCCCACATTTACTATCACAGACAATAGAGCAACCACTTTCATTTTCTTCAGCTGGTATTCGAACTGGCCCTCTTTCAAATGGATTAACCAAACTGAACAAGAACGCTTGTTTGGATTGGGCACCTTGCAAATGCTCACCTTTGAGAAGAGAATTAAATGTATTGTTATTCTACAACCCTGAGGCCCCGTCCAAACTTATCCGTTGTTGTTTGAAAACGGATATTTTTTCTCCGGTTTGGCCTTAGCCGTCCACTCGTATCCGGTGAAAACGGTCACCGACAACGCATCTGTTAAAAAACGCCCTCCAGAGTGTAGATTTTTAAAAACGCTGGCTTCTAGTTTACTTGTGAACGGACGAAAACGCAGGTTTTCGAATACGATTTGTATTCGTGTTTTATTTGCCACACATAACACGATTACAATTGACCACTACAGAAAATGCCATAACATACCATAACGCTCTTTGTTGCATGCATGAGCATTGTTTTCAGTTTCTCTTGGAAAACAATGAAAACAATGCTTATGCAAATTTTGGGGTGACAAACAAAGAGCATTATGGTATGTTATGGCATTTTCTTTGGTGTCAATTACAAAAAGATACAAAAAAATGTGGGAAGAAATGGCGAGGATGCCTAAAGGGGTTGCTTAAAGGAAACTATAAAGCTTATGTTAATAAGGCCTCCTCAATGACAATTTTCAAAGATTGCATAAACACTTTTACGGCGATGGATACAAAATATTATTAGATAGAAAATTAAAGTAACAATTAGAGTATTCTAATAATTCTATTACAAATAAATGCCTTAAAGGAGCTGTGTCACGAAATTCATCCAAATTAGGAACTTACAAAATGCCGGTTAAATTAAGACAAACATAAAAATAACCGCTTAAAACTTTAAAGGAAGGTTAAATAACATAACATAAACAACAGATGCCACGGATGGGCAAAACTGAAGAAGATTGAAACGGACTGAAATTAGGGTTTTTGAAAACTGTTCAGCCTAACAGTTTTTCAAAGTTTGTCCCTGGTGCTTGACCTCAAAAATAATGCATATTTGTTTGTCTCGGATCTCTGATTTTGTCATTTACATGTAATTTCTTTGCTTACTTTAAGTTCCATAGCGATTGAGGGCGAGTAATTGGCAAAATTAAACAAAATGAACTGGACTGCCGTGACAGAGCCCCTTTAAGTGCTCTTTTAAAGGAGGAGTTGATGATGTTGGTGTTTAAGGTGTTATAAAATTTATAATTAGGTCCTTGATAAAAATACCGAAAATTGTTTGATTCGAGTACGACAGAAAGGCAGACGAAATGTACAAGAGTTTCTTGAATTATACGAATGAATTTGACTTTTTATGGTAAAATTATGACGAAATTTTTCTCTATTTTTTTTAGTTTTATTAGGTATATATCACAAAATTATAAGATACTAAGATTTTGAAAGATTGGATCAGTATGTGCATCGAAAGGATTTTAAGCTATAGATAGTTCTGATCGCTCGTTTCTGTAAAATCTCAAGACAAATAAGGTTGGTTCTGTAAGTAGAGGCCCAAACTAAGTTGCAGTAAAAAAAGTAGGGACAGACTAGAGAAAAATATAATGTTCATAAAGTTTTCGTAGAAAAATAGGAACTGGATTTACGAATAATTCCTATATGGATTTAGATACTTTATTGGCCACATGTGAGATTTCAGATTTCCAATTTAAATTTTCATCCATGACTACTCCCAAGAAAACTGTTTCTTTTACCCGATCAATTTTTTGGCCATTAATTTAAGGTTAAATAGTTTGATTTGTACGCTTTTGGCATGGTTTAGATACAATGAATCTGAAAGCCTGTTAACTCTAAACTAAATTGCCAACTATTTAGCTCAGCGTTCAGTATATTTGTCAAGCAGTCTTTGTCCTTGTGAGACAGAAAAAAGTTTGTATCATCGCCAATAATAACAATTGTAATATTGTTGATGTGTTGATTATATCATTGATGTTGAGCAGAAGAAAACAAAAGCCCTAATATTGAACCTTGGGGAACGCCACACATGATATTAGCACGAGACGCATATGCTTCTAGCACGACGCATACTTAGTAAGGGGTGCTATCGTATTTCAATTGTTTTAACGTTTTCGTGTGGACGGGCGAAAACGATTCGATCACGTTGCGTGTAGATGAGTATTTTTTGAAAACGGCCGGGAAAAAATATATCCGTTTTTCAAAATACCGGATACGTGTGGACGGGGCATAAGTGGCCCTTGATATCACCCCCCGACACCTGAAATTTCTTCGTGATTACAGCTAATTCTTTAAGTTTAAGATTGCGTCTTTCTTACTTACTTACTTACTTTTATATTTTTACAAAACTTTTTCAGATTTTAGTAGGATAACATGACAATAACATTTGCTAGGACAGGCTTCCTCTTAGTCAGGCGTCTCTGCTTGTTCTTGCGCGGAGCGTGAATACACCCCGCTTTAAGTACTTGGGGGACGAGGTAGTTACACAGAACGGAGACCATCGAAAGTGAATCGATACGTCACGTACTAAGAGCCTAATACCTGCCAGTACAACCATTACAACTGCGCATGCGTGGCTGCTCATTTGCGTCTTGGGTTTGCAAATTTCTGGTTCTTATAAGAACCAAAGATTTTAACTCGTTTTTTCATGCTCTTTCTATAAACGTTTTTGTCTAATTTTACATATTAAAAACTCATTAGTTGCTGATAATGAGCAGTTAGTGAATTCCATCTTTTTTTGACAAGGTGTACTTCTTTTAAGTGAAAAGCTTGACCCGAAAGCAGAGTCGTCAAAATGGAGGACGAAGAGCGTGCGACGGTTTTACGGTTTTACGTTAAAATAACCCAATTATAAGCACTGAGGTTGATATCTTTACTCGCTTCAGGCCTCCTAGCCATTGAGATCATTATTTTAGAGTCACGTAAATCACGTTTAAAGGCAAACGGCAAACGGCAGATTCTAGTTGAGAATTTCTCAAAATAGAAAAAGCAGGTAAATACTTTAAAACTGTCCTAAACAGTTCTTATGGATAAAAGTGGGGTGAAACTACTAATTTTTGAGTGGAAGTAATGAATGGCAAACGACAAGAAAAGAGAAAACTTGGTCACGAGGTACTAATTCACTAATGCCGTTTGCCGTAAATAGAGAGGTTAAACATCTTGTTTACGTCAAACGGCACAGGCGAATTTGTACCACGTCACCATGTTTCCTCTTTACTTGTCGTTTACTGCTCATTATTTCTACACCTAAATTAGTAGTCTCACGCCACTTTTTATCCATAAGTATTGTTTTAATCCGTTTTCTGCACATTTTCTATTTTGAGAAATTCTCAACTTGAATCTGACGTTTGCCGTTTGCTGGCCGTATACGCGAAGCATGACTCCAAATCTCTCTATTGATCACTTCTGGTACCCTAAAACCTGGGCTGTACTTACTTTTCTCTTCAGTCAGGTCAAGGAGCATAGCGGTAGCACTAAGCGGTTTCTTTCCTAAAAAATATTGAAGATAAGTAAAAGTGAACAAAAGCAAAACAGTAGAAAACCAAAGCAAAGCAAGAGGTCATCAGGGAAAGCAGAAAAACAGTGAAACTGCCTATGTACTCCTGCTTAAACGTCTTGCATAAAATTTTTCAGAAGACCAAATGGAGTCAAATGAGGCCGGAGTTTTTCAAAATTTTGCCAAAAGCGAAAACCGTAACTGCTGCCTGAAGAACACGGACATAAGACCAAAAGAAATGATTTCTTTAATATACTGAGATGGGACATACAGGGTTGGTATAGAGTTGATTTGGAAAATTGTGCGTACCTCTGGAAAATTACTAGCTACGCCTCTAAACTCAATTTTCTCTAACTTCTAAAGCAACCGCCATAAATTTATAAACAACCTACTACAGCGCTTGCATTATTGGTGAGCTACCCTCAGGAGTAATTTCGTATGAACTAAAATGTCTTTAAGGTAGCACATCACTAAAATCCTCCTGGACCCGGTTCCTGAAAGGCCGATTAGCAGTAACCCAGGATTAAAATGTTGTTCAGTTCATGTAATAAAAGACCCTAAATGTAGTAAAGTCCTGTAGCGAATGGAATAACATTTTGCCCTAAATGTAATGACTTTTCGCTTTAAATGTAATAAACTCAAAAGAGTGATAAATGTCAGTTTAACGTTATCAATGACGTAAGTGATACGTCATTAAAGGGGCTGTCATGGCTGTCTGCTTCATTATAATAATGTTGCCAATTATCGTATTTACTCGAACAAGCACCGCCTCCGACTAATTGCCCGCCACCCCCGATTAAGCGCCACTCTCAAAGAAGCGCTGCAATTGAAAAAAACAGTTTAAGCCCTAATATAATCAAATAAAAAGACGTTCAATTCTGTTAGGTTAATACTAGCCTGTTCCAGGCTCTCAGATAGTGGAGAAGACGCGAAAGTGGAACGCACGCGAAAAGTCCGCCCCTGCTATCCCCAGTTTATTCCCGTTATATTTTCGTGTTTACGCTTTCTCAATTCGGCGGACCCGACTATCTCGGAGCCTGGAACAGGCTAGGTTAATACGGAAAACTAATAATAACGTTGTTAATACAATTCTTTGTCGCATCCAGCTTTCAAATAAACGCCGCCTCAAATAAGCGCAGCACTGAACCGTAAAAAAATTATTTGAGTAAATGCGGCGTGCTTGGTGAGCCCTGCTTTATGGACACCCGCTTAATACGGACAGTTTTCTTTGTCGCTGAGGAAAGCCCTTACATTTTCCCTAAATTTAACCCGCTTAATTAAAACGGACACCCGTTAGTGCGGACAGCGGACACTTGTTTTTTTCCCAATCAACAGATTCTCATGGATGGTCTACATACCTTGTTGATGCGGACACTTCAATGTCAACTGTGTGTTGTTATAAACCTTTCCTCTGTGAAGCTTTAAAAACCATTTAGGTGACAGCATGCTCTGTAGTACACAGGATAGAATGGATTGTAGACGTCCATTTCAGACTTTTCTGGCATCAAATTAACGAGTTATGCAGAGAACGGTTCTTTGATAAGTAATGTATAAATGAGCGATTTTTGAGTGTTTTCTGGAAACAGTCTACAGAATGATGGCTACCTGAAAGATAGAGAGGTTTAATTTGACGCTTTTTATGTACTGTTTAATTTTATTTTGTATAAACTTCTTTTCTTCCAAATGCGGCGCTAATTTGAGAGTGGCGCTTAATCGGGAAAGGCGGGCTCTTAGATGTGGGTCAGACACAGATGTGGTATAGCGCTATTTGGTATATGTGGGTAGCGCTTATTCTAGTAACTACGATAATTGACAACTTTATCACAATGAAGCAGACAGCCGTGACAAAGTCTTTTTAATGACGTGTTACTTACGTCATTGATGATGTTAGCATGACGTCAAAACAGTTATCACTCCCAGAGTTTATTACATTTAGGGCAAAATATTATTACATTTAGGGTCGTTTATTACATTTAGGCCTTCAACAACCACTTTGTGTTATCATTACTGTATCTCAAAGTAAAGGCTCAACAGTATTTGCATGTCCTTACACGAGAAAATCTTGCTCAAAATTGGCTTAATCCTGGATTAAACTTAGTTATTTTTCGAGGAACAAGGCCCTATTTTCTTACCCAAACTATCAGGGTCCATAAAGGGAGATGGTCGGGGGCAGGGGGGGGTTGGGGGTGCTCAAGTCTTTCCCAAAATGTTTGGATGTGTCAATTCTGAAGCTTGAAGTGCCTTTTTCACAACCTTTAATAGTCAGCTGATTACCTATCAGTTTCACAACATACTGATGCTATAAGGACCCTTTCATATAATATCCACACCCCCTATTGACAGGGTGTTTTTGGCCAGACCCTTTCTGGCTCAAGAATATTTTTCCCCCTCGGAAATATGGATGCAGTTTTAACTATGGCGCCATTTATTTTTAGAAGCCCTCAGAATGTGGTAATGTCATTTTCCCTTTCAGAAAAGTGGTTTTATCAGAGTGTGTGTGTGGGTGTGTGTGTGTGTGTGTGTGTAAGGGGGGAGGACGCATCGGGGGTACCTTGGACATAAACAGTGCGCTCCCCCCACCCCCCAAAGTTATGTTAGCATTGACAACAGACTGTATTAACCACCAAGTAGACTCTTAGCCTGCGAGCAAGCTCTCCATTTGGGGGTGTCGCGAGACGTTCGCCATAAATGGAGAGCTTGCTAGAAGGCTAAGTAGAAATAATAATTCCTACCGCGCTTACTACTCCATGCTTTTTCGGTAAATCCGCCGAATATGAAGCTTCCACTAAGTACAACTGTCACTGTTGGGCCCTTTTTGTCGCATTTTGAGTGGAACGACTCAGCTGCGAAGCCATCTCGAGAAGCTCTGAACAGAAGACGCCACCTGCCAGTTTTATAAGGTACCATACCTAACAATATCTTCGCATGTTCTTGAGTCAGTATTTCAGACTCATCAAATGGCTCTGTGGCTTTGGCTCCTCGATCTGCACCCTTCGAAGGTCTGGGCTTCCCTAGCTCCTCGAGAATTCCTTGAATTTGGTAGAATTCAGCTTCTGCCTCGATTTCTTCACAAAAAGTGGCCCCTTCTGGCAAAGATAACTTTCCATCCCGAAGAAAGTTCAGAATATACCGGAAGTAATTTCCATCTCGATCGATAAAGTAGGTTCCATCTTCAGAAGGCTTCAGTGGAAATCTTCCAGAAAACATGGCCGCAAGCATCGAGTCGGGGTCCTTGGTCAGTGTTTGGACGGTTGTAGTGAAATGTTGGCCACCAACATTGAGGTTCACTTTCGTTGAAAGCTGCATGCTTTCCATTTTCTTCGACATGGAATCATATACTTCCTGCTCTTCAAGAAGGCTTCGAAGCCTACTTGCTCGTCGTTTTAGGGATTGTAGTTGGTTACAAACTGCTTCGATTTGTTTCTCGACATCAGCGAGAACTTGCGTATGTGACAGTTCCTCTTCTTCTTGACTTCTATCACTCATTTTAAACGCGCTTCCTTGAAAAAATTTCGATCAGTTCTTCTTGGCAGCCTTCAAAATCGTGAGCTGCTGCTTGATCAATAAATTATAGGCTCTTTGCATGACTTGATCACGTGATCAACTTTCGATAGACACGAAAACAGCTAGGTAACCCAGAGGTAACCTGAGAATTTTGAGCCGCATATCTCTAAAGTAGTGATTGCAACGGCCGCCGAAAGTTGGAAGAAATGAGAAAAAAAAATTGCGTTCCAGTCACGCTTGCATACCGGTTTTCCATACAAATCCTTGTAATTTCGCAACCCAGTCATGAAATATTTCCTTATACAGGGCTCAGATCGCCTTTTAATTCAAAACAAGCAATTTGAGCCCTTAAATGCGTAAGGGAAAGATTTAACGATAGTTAAAAATTTTTTTAGAATTTACAAGGATTTGTATGGAAAACCATGCAAGCGTTAGTAACTTTCGGCGGCCTTTGCAATCGATATGTTTGAGATATACCGCTGAAAATTCTCAGTTTACCTAATTTTAATATGCTCTTTCAGCATGTGCTAACAAAATTTTTCAAAGGAGAACTGTTTTCGTGTTTACTGAAAGTTGATCACGTGATCATAGAAAGAAAATAAAGAGCCTATCAGTTGAGTGACCAGGGCAAAGAGACAAGAGTCTTTCATATACAATTGTTTTTTTTGTTATTCAATGGTTAGAATCCTTGATCTAAGCGTCAAGAGCATTCATAGCGAACATGCGAAGAAGCTGGAGCCTATTAGTAATAGGCTCCTGGAAGAACAGGAGCCTATTACCCTCCTGGAAGAAGCAAAGAAGGAATAACAGTTCCTAGAACTATCCCTAATTATTACGAATTTTGCGAACTTTACGGCACGGGCGATGAAGTAACTTCAGGCCCGGCTTCAGGATATGTAGGCCCTTGATAGTGTGTAATGGCAAGCAAAAAAAAAAATTTACAATTCCTTTTTGTCAGGTGATTACAGGTAAACTTTGCAGCAAGCAAGTCCGCTGGTTGCAAGCGGTGAGGCCGCTTCCCGCATTTCGCGCGCATTCCCTGCATTCCACCACGTGGTGACGTCACTAGGAGACGCTCTGTTGTATCTATTGAGACCAAGTTGAGCAATCGTTCGTACTTTTCAAGTTGCTTTGCTTCTCTTGGACAAACACAGTCTTCCATTCTAATGCTTTGACATCATGTCTCAGCTGCATAATGAAGGTTTAAGAAAACAGCTTGTCGCTGATAAGCGAACCGCGACAGCAGACTGGTCATGGCTGGTAAGTTTCGAACCCCATTAACACGACCGATTACACCTTCGTAAATCAGCAATTCTGAACTGGCTATTTCTTTATCTCATTTCAGTCAGTTAGTCAGGTTTAGATGAACTAGAGTTAGAAAAAAATTAGCTTTTTCCAAATGGAAGAGACATGCTTTATCCTTATGGCACAAATCTCCTTTCATGTTTACAGTTTGTCTTGAATCGAAATTGGATTTAAATGGTCGAGGCGTTACAAATCGATAATTTCGATACTCGATAAAATCGATTGTAATCGATAATTTTCGATACTAATTACTTGATTAATATCGAAAATCGATAGAAATCGATAGCGGAGGTTTTTGTGATTATCGATTTTGATCGATTTTATCGATTTCTGTAATTATAGTTCGATTTTAATCGATTTCTATCGATTTCTATCAAAAATATCGATTTCGTCAATGGAACTCAGACAAAGAAGAAGACAGAGCTTAAAAGCAAGGAACAAAAGGCAAATGGATATCGTAAGGCCAAAAAACGGGAAATAGTACCCGTTCTTGATATTTCCTGCCAAGGAAACGACGATAAAAGACTGAAAGCAGTTAAAAGACCGGTATAGGCAGTTAAGGACGGACGAGACGTAAAGTTAACCCTAGCCGGTCTTAAACCGCATGCGGTTTTGTCGGTGGCTTCAACGTACTGTACTCTGGAGTTAACACATACGCTTTCTTTATCCCACACCTTGAGTCGATAATATAAAATACCTTTAATCAGCCTTAATGTACTGTAAACAAACTACAAAGGTTTTTAAAACTGTAATAATAATGCACTTGTCGCTAGACTCAAAAATTGAAACATGCTCAACGATAACGAGAGAAAAAAAAAGCAAAAAAAGCGATGCTCGCTCAGTTTTAGGTAAACCAACTTTGTTACGCCGTGAGCGAGTAAATAGAGACCTTTAGATTGGACTACGAGTACGAGATTGAGTACAGTACGAGTTTTCAAACCAAATTCGTCCGCATCATATAACTACTTATCACACCAATATTATCCCTAACGTTTATTTGTGTGTTAGTCAGCAACAGGAAAGAGTTATAGTTCGGGGATACAATTATATCGAAATTCCAAAGTCGTACTTCAGACTCAATTTCGTACTCGTAGTCAAATCTAAAGGTCGCTAATAAGTAACAACTGTTTCACCAAGTATTTGTTGTAAATTAACTTGAGCGAACAGCCAAGAAGATAACACCTCCATCCACACGCGACGTAAATGAATCAAGTGAGCAAAAAAGGTCATTACACATGAAT